GCTAGACTCTGGCGGGTGCGCGCAGGACAACATTTTGTGAGGTTAGCCCGCCGTTGGTGGCGTAGGTGTGCGCGCTGTGGGCTATTTGTATGCGGTCGAGCTCTCCTCTTGGCTTGACTTGATTCAAATGACTTTAGGTCAATTATGATCGTATCACTTTCCATTTTCTTAGTCTTTTCATTTGATTTCCTTTTCGTTTTTTTATAAGTTGTCTTTTCATTTACACGTCTTTCATTTATTGTAAGTTTTGTGACTTTCCATTTTCTTAAGACCATTCACATGGCTTGTTAGGATGACTATATATAGTTTTGAGATTTCTTGTTGTATACACAATTTGATGTTTAAAGAAAATTGAGTTTTCTCATGAGCATAGTTGAGATCTTTATCTCCCATATCTTGTGCAATTTCTTTCGTCTTAAGAATTTGCATGTTAGGGTCATTCAAGTGGTGTTGATCATACATCTTATGGAGTGATTCGAATCATGAGTTTAGAAGCGAGTTTTATCTATTGATCATCAAGGTAATCCATTCTTAAACTTTTCCTTGGGTTGAAAGGGAGATAAATATGAATAGTATAGAAAGCTCGTTTATAAACTCGTGATTCGAATCACTCCACAAGAGTATGATCAACACCACTTGAATAATCCTGACATGCAAATTCTAAAGACACAATAAATTGCACAAGGTATGATAGATAAAGCTCTCAACCAAGCTAATGAGAGAACTCACTTTTCATTAAACTTCAAATTGTGTCTACAATAAGAAATCCCAAAACTATATATAGTCATCATAGCAAGCCATATGTAAAGTCTTAACAAAATGGAAATACTCATAACTTACAAGAAATGAAAAGACATAACTTACAAGAAATGAAAATGCAAACAAGTGACTACTAAGAAAATGGAAAGCCAACAAAAATAAATGCAACACCACCCATAATGAGGGATGTGAATGTTTGACTTGCTTTATGAATTCAATGAGTTGACCTTGACTTGTCTTGATGGAGCTGACTTTGAATTGACCAAGTTGCTTTGACTTGCCTTTAAAAACACTTAGAAATATGTAACTTGCACCAAATTGTAGTGAATTGTTTCAACATCTTGCACGAACGCTTGAACAAGAAGTAGTAAGGCTCGTTGAAGTTTTCTAGCTCTTAATCTTGTAATCGATCTGCTTTGGCTATTATGAGTCGTAGTTGTAGTGGAATTGTGCTGCTATTATTGTAACGCCCCGTATCTTTCAGGTTAGTTTAAATCTCGAACTATGAGGTTTTCATTAGATTCTAAATTTATTTTAATTAAATTTATGTATATCGAATCGCGCGCGATTGGTTTTATCTCAGGTTGGGATGAGTTTTTTTGTTTAGTTGGTCCTTTCTTTTGGTTTGGTTTGGTTTGGTTTTTCTTTATAAAACCAAAACCGAAACCCTTTCTTTTCTTTTTCCTTTCTCCTTCTTTTTCTTCTTCTTCCCCTTTTCTTCCCTTGCTTCCCGCGGCCGACAGCCCCCCTCCCTAAATTTCTTCTTCTTTTTCGGTTCAGCCATTTCCACCTTCCTCCTTCTTGTTCTCCGGCGAGACACCGAGCAGCCGCACCTCCCTCGACCATACCTGCAGCAGCTTCACAGAGACCCACGAACGGTGGTGTAGCAGCGAACGGTGGCGCGGCGCCTTCCGGCGGAGACCCACGAATGGCGGCATTCCTTTGAACTTCAGCGGCGGCACGGCGTGTCCTGCGGTGACGCGATTTCCCGTTAGCAGCGGTGGCGCGACGAGT